CTTGCAGTGCCAAGCCAAAACAATCAGCAAAGAAAAAAAAAGTGTTCCATTTCCAATGCACAAACTCCAATACAAAAACCCTCCAGCCTCCAAGCAGGAGTGTTACCATTGCAAATTTCCTTATTTCTTTTGTATCTTTTTTGTATTTCAAGTTAGAAAAAAGAGTCCAACCTTTAAATGATTTAGAAAAACACCCACAGCAATGAAAGAGGAAAACTTTAGCGCATAGGTTACAGAGAACAATAAAATAAAAAACAGAAGAAGAAAACTTAATCCATCCGTTTCAAAAGGCTTGCATAAATTCCATCCATGAAGATAGCATTTAAAAAGTAAGATAACCACTGACCAAAACCATTCCCAATTTAATTCTGCCGCTTGATTCTTCTGTTCTCCGATTTAATTTTAAGTTTTTTATAGGCAGTCTCTTTTTAAAACAGTAAAAGTTCCTCACCAGCTGGAAACACCTTCTCTTTCCGTATCCTTGTGTTTGGAGCTGCCCCGACTTTGTCAGCCTTGGCTGGATTTTTTGTTGCTGGCTTGAAGAACTTACCTTGCATCGATCAGGGACTTTGCAATGTCCCTGAGGTCAGCAAGATGTATTCTTCCTGTTCACTGTCTCTTTGGGACGGTTTAGGTCCGATTGGATCACCCAGTGGCAAAAGTATTGGCTGCGATCTCGGAGCATCGCACGTCCATATTGTTGCAAAGTTGGCTCCTCCTCCTTACTGCAATTTTTGAAGCCCACCCCTGGGTATAATGGATTTGCTTAACAACCACAGTGTTCGTGAAAAAAAATCATTAAATTGGGTCTCATCACATGGTGACTCACTGAATGACCTCAATGACTAACAAGTGTAGAAGTCACAGGTCAAGGACCACATCAAAGAAGCAGTATGGTGATGGTAATGATCGTCCTACCTTTTTTACAGCAGGGCCCTCTACTGGTTGCAGATTCTGCAATGGAGAGACGAAGCGAGAGAAATAAAGAGTGACATGGGGAAAAAAGTAGTTCTAGTTCTTGTTTTCTTTTACAGGAAAAAAAAAGCACAATGGAGTTATGAGCTTTGAGCATTGCTTGCCAAAAGCAGTGTGAGTTCCTAACCAGTCCTTCATTGATGTTGCTCTGCTATTTTTTCCCCTCCCTTTGCTTTGGATGCTCTTCTGCACTCGGAAGATGGCAGCAGCTGCAGAAAGGGGACAGCAGTGAGCACAGGCCTGAGCAAGCACAGGGAATAGCAGACGCTGCAGTCCTGTACCTACCATTTCACCTGATGGCCCAGGATGTCCCGGCAAGCCATTGTTTCCTGGGATGCCCTAAAGGCAAGGAGAAACTTTGAATACGTGAGTCCTCCCTGGCTGTCTCTTCCAAAGGAATCCTGTTGCCACCCAAATGGGACTCCAAGATCCTGTGTCCCTTCACCTAACACTTGCCCAAACCTTCTCCTCCATGCTTTTCTGGATCCTTCACTTATTTTTCTGGCTGTTTTCCTGAAAAAACAGGGCTCTGGTGATATACAAGAGGAAGGATCTTTGGAGATGTAGCAGTAGTTGTGAACTCCCATGTCTCTGCAACTTCTACCTCTGGATGAGAACCCAAACTGGACAGAGAAAGGTCCCCCTTCAGCCAATTCTGAAATTTCTCCCTTCACCCGTCAACTCCTAGGGCAGTGATGGCTAACCCTTTTGTTGTCGCATGCCGAAACCGTGCACAAGCACCCATAATACAGTGTGTGTGTGACCCCCCCCACATGCTCTGCCCCCTGCACATGCACACATCATCCCCCCACTCTCCCCATCTCTATGCACATGACTCCACGCATGCACCCTGTCTTCATGCACGCATGCATCTCCCGCATGTGCCCCGCCCCTGGCCGACAGGAGGCGTGTGCACATGCGCGGTGGAGCTGAGCTGGGTGATGTGTGCCACCTGTCATGCCATAGGTTCGCCATCACAGTCCTAGGGAATCCAATTCTTTTATCTCCTTTTTCCACTCCCCTCTCTTCTTTTATGACCCCATGATTTGTGATGCCCAGCTTTCTCAGATACAGAATGAATATTTGGAAACGTAAAAAAAATGTCTTGGCCTTAAAACTGAAATCAAATCTGCCTCTTCAAATAAAGAATCCTTTTTCGGATTTGATAGGGCCTTCTCTTTGGAAGAGAAACAGGGAGACACTTAAAAAGGGGAAGACATATTATTCATTATACTCTATTAATCAGATTTGGGAACTGTTCTAATTGAGTTGGAAGTCTGATCAATGTCTAGTAACATCATCCATCAGGTTTAAAAGTGCATCAGTGATTCAGTGGTGCCAAATGGCAAAGACTGTTTTAAGTTTTGATTGTCTGCTCCTCTTTCTTAAACTGACTTTCTTGCCTAGCTGATAATCAGATCCAGAAAAGATATTATTTCCCCCTTTAATATGTAATATCTAAATATGTTTGTTTAGAGTTCCCTGAAACATCTTAAAGCAAAAGGTGTTTTGTTCGCTCTTAACCCTGGACAGGAATTGGGAAACATTCCTAAAGGAAAATCATAATCACTGTTGGAAAATGAATTTACGTAACTTTCTTATATCTTGAGCCAATGTGCATTTAGAGGAAAGAAAGGAGTCTCATAGCTTTAGAAGACCGCAAGGTGGCAGCAAAGGGTGGCATTTGCCTTATTTCTTAGCCTTCCTCTAGTGGTTGTCTGAAGTTTTGCAGAAGGCAACATCAAGTCTTCCAATCTTCTAAATTCCTTCAATCTTCCACATTTTATCCACTTTTACGACTTTAACCATCAATCTTAAAATATATGTATTTGTTTTCTTTCCAACATACTTACTCGGCTGCTGATAGTACCTAAAGTGGCACCAAGGAGAAGGAGACCCTCTCCTGATTTCCTGCCCTGAGTCCAATAAAGCCACATGAGATCTCCCGGGGGAAACATAATATTCCTAAGGCGTATTACATTTCACTATGTTTCCAAAGACATTTAACATGATGCTGCACAGGGCTACACAAGGGGAAGGAACTGTTTCTGTCCTTTGCCTCTTTGTATTTGGCCAACCCTCTCCTTGCTTCCCATTTTGCATTTTCCAGCCTCTGAGCAATTTCATTGGCAAAATCTGGCAAACTGACTTTGCATGGAAAATTAGTGTGGTCTGCACAAATCATTCTTTGAGAGCCAAAAAGCTACTTTCTGGATTTCTCCTTTTTGGGGGTGGGGTGGGATTTTCCTCAACCCTGTCTGTGTTGCATCATGACTTTGTTCACTGTGGCTGAAAGAAAAAACAAATTGTTGTTCTTGTCATTGAAGTAAGCAGCAGGGTACTGGAAGGAGAGTGGGAGGGAGAATGCAGAATAACAGAGTTGGAGTGGACCAATCTAACCTCCACCTTGAGCTGTCTCGACACCTGGCTGCCTAATCTCTTCTTTAAAAACCCATAACTTTGGAGGCAAATTGTTCCACTGATGAATTATTCTCACTGTCAGGAAATTTCTCCTTAATTCTAGGTTGGATCTTTCTTTGATAAGCTTCCATCCATTGTCCTATCCTTAGGGGCTTTGGAAAATAGGTCAACCTCCTCTTCTGTGACAACCCCTCAAATATCAGAAGACTGCTATCATGGCATCTCAGTCATCCCTTTGTAAGACTAGGTAAAGGTTCCTCTTGCACATATGTGCTAGTCGTTCCTGACTCTAGGGGGCAGTGCTCATCTCTGTTTCAAAGCTGAAGAGCCAGCGCTGTCCGAAGACATATCCGTGGTCATGTGGTCAGCAAAACTAAATGCCAAAGGTGTACAAAATGCTGTTAGCTTCCCACCAAAGATGGTCCCTATTTTTCTACTTGCATTTTTTACCTGCTTTCGAACTGCTAGGTTGGTAGAAGCTGGGACAAGGAACGGGAGCTCACTCTGTTATGTGGCGCTAGGGTTTCGAGCTGTCAAACTGCTGACCTTTCTGATCGACAAGCTCAGTGTCTTAGCCACTGAGCCACCGGATCCCTTGCTTTGTTAGACTATTCATACCCAATTCTCCTAAT